TAATAGTGTGGGGACCAAAACTGGGTGTAGTTCTCTAGGTATGATCCTACTAGAATGGTATTAGTACCTCTCTTGATCTTGATTGTATCCCTCTGTTAATGCAATTTAGGATTGTATTGGCTCTTTTGGCTGCTGCTGCACACTGCTGGCTCATATTTAGTTGGTTGTCCACTAAGACTCCAACATCACAGTCACTGCTATTAAGCCTGGTTTCACCCAGCTTATATGTGTACTTTTGGTTTTTCTTACCTAAGTGTAGGACTATTACTTTTCTTTACATTGTGATTTGCTCCATAGGATGAAAGTCATCCCAAAAACCTGCAGAGAACTTTCCAAGGAGCATAGTATCCATTGACTTTTTTAAAAGGCTGCTGTTTCAATCCCCAGGTTTGGAATTGTTACATAGCAAGCTCTCTGCTTCAGAGATTTGTGTACAAAGCATAACCTTTAGCTGGACTCTTTCCCCAGAGTAATCCCCAGCTGTCCACACATTTCTGTGGCTCACCTCTGCCTCAGGGACCGAGACGTCGCAGGCATATGCTTCATCCCACTCTGGTTCATTTGGCAGCAAAAACAGCAGTGTTTATTCCCCAGGGGCGGGGGCTGTTAATTTTAAGTCTTTTTCCCCCCTTCGCCTTATAATCATAAAAATTCAGAGGGAATTTTTTTTCCCCCAAAGAACCCCAATCAATATTTCAAAGGCCACAAATGGTTTGGAATGAAGCAAGCTAATTAATCGCATTTCATTAGTGCTGTGCTGTGTTAGCGTTTCCGTTTTATGCGACATAAGCTGCCTTGTAACCAGGATCCCTGTACCAGACTGAAGAGTCAGGCTTCGTTTAGCTTTAATTTCCAGCGAGATTTAAAATGAAAATTGGCATTAAAATAAAAACAAGCAAACACACACAGAGAAATTGGAGGAAAGGTTTTTTTTTTTCCCCATCCTCCTTTTGGCACCAAACAGAGCTGGCATGAAGAGCGAAAGCACAACCCAAGAGTTTGTAAAAATAAGTTTGTGATGGGTATGAGTGAGGGTTCTTTTTCCATGATGCATCGTTACCTCTGATTGCATTTGTAAATAAGTTAGTTTTCAATAGAAGATGGTATCTGCAGCTGAGGATCTTACAACTGTGGAATCCTTGGTGCTCTCTGAGGTTGTTTGTTTTCTTGCAGACGTTTGATTACCCAACTAGATAACATCATCAGTGCTGGTCAGTGATGGGATGACTGTACAGTGTACAGAGTAGGGGAAAGTATACAGAGTTTGCAATATGGGGTGAGTGTGAGCAAACCCGATGCTCATTATCACTGATGATGTTACTTACTTGCAAGGGTGGGATTCAGCCGGTTCGCACCAGTTTAGGTGAACCAGGTGTTAATTTTGCATTCAGTTCACCGAACTGGTTGTTGCAAGGACCGGCTGGCCACACCCCTCCCTGCCTGTCCCAGGAGTCTCCACATGGCCAGGTAAGTGGAGAACTCTGATGGAGACTGGGAGTGTGAAAAACAGGCCTCCCTGAAATCTGGAAATGGGCCCTTTTCTGGCCTCTGAAAGGCCTCCAGAGGCCGGGGTAAGTCATTTTTGCCCTCCCAGAAGCTCAAGGAAAGCCTTCGGAGCCTGGGGAGGGTGAAACCACACCCACCCACCATGCAAGAGTAGGCCATGCCAACCATGGCTATGCCCACCCAGCAACCAGGCAGAGAACTGGGTGCTAACTTTTCTCATTCCCACTGCTGCTTACTTGGGTAATGAAACATTTGTAAACAAACAATCAAATGCAGAGAACACCAAACATTTTATATATATACACATACACATACACATACACATACACATACCTATACGTATACAGACATATACATATACATATACATATACATATACATATACATATACATATACATATACATATACATATATACATACATACATACATACATACATACATACATACATACATACATACATACATACACATATATAAAACATTTGAATGGGACACAAGTGGGCTAGACCAAGACCAGCCAGATAATTCCTTGTTTGTTACATGCCCCATATTCTGTCTAAATAAGTCTATCCTATGTTCTGGGTGGCCATTCCATTCCTTAAATGTTGCCCTTATCCATCCCATCATCCCACCATTTCTCTTGATTTCCAAGCAAACTGCAAGTGGCTGTTCAAAATAGCATGGAATTGTCAGCTCACAAACAAGGACTGGAAAAGACATTCCACCGCATCTTGTTCCAAACCTGGATTTCAGCAAAGACCTTATAATCTTTAAAGGAAAGACTCTTGAGCCACTAAGTGAATGGCAAAGAAAACATTGCAGGGAGCATTCAGACCATTAGTTCAGAAGAGAAGTCAGAATAACAGGTTGGATCTTAGGCAGATGAATCTCCAAGGGAAACGGCTGTTTTAGTACATCTATTTAATTGAGGAGAGAACAGCAAATTCATCTATGCAGATTTATATATATATATAACATTTTTTTCCCCTTTGGGGCAGTAAAATGGGGTTCTTTGGATGATCTGTTCTGTTGAGGAAAATGCTGATTTCATAATGAGAGATCACCCTAAAAACTCTGTTGACTGTAACAGAGGATCTAATATTGATGCCTCCCTTGAAGGAACCGTATTAAGTTTATGTAATAAAAACACATCCATGCAAAATACTAACTTGTATTTTTGTACAAATATTTCACAATGTTTTATAGCATACTAGCTAAGCATTGCCCAGGTATTTATTTATAGGGGGAAAATGTCCAGACCAAACGTAATTTCAAATGTCGGATTTCCCCCCTTACCAGAGGGAGCCCCCTTGTGGAGTACTGTGAAGCCTTTACCGTGGTAACTCCAATGCACTGTACAGTAGAAGCTATTTGAAGGCATAACAGGCTGTATCGTAATAGAACACACACCCAGAGGGGTATTGGGGTGTCTCCCCCCCCCCAGTATTTGTTTCCAGCAAGTTAGTCATCTGTGTTCCATATTTGGTTGAAACTGATCAAGGCATTCCCGAGTTATGCTGGAATATACTGGATGGATGGATGGATGGATGGATGGATGGATGGATGGAGAGAGAGAGAGAGAGAGAGAGAGAGAGAGATGATAGATTCAAAAGAAGAAGAATTGAGGATTGAGGAATACAGTTGAGGAACACAGAATGCAATATTCGATAGAAGATAAGTGTGGAATTTAGTTTGTTTATTTTCCAGGACACATTAATATGCCCATTTTACCAAATAGTTAGATGCTTTAAACATGTCCCATAGCTCAATCCTCTTCAGATGCCCCATCACACTACAAATGATGGCTTTTACATCTCAATATGTATATTTAGGACTGTAGCTCAAGAAATTCATCCAACCCTCATAAGCAAGGGAGCATGTTCAGTCTTCTCATTCTTGGGACTCTCCAGATATCCAATAACAGTAACACCCAGAATTCTCACCCAGGACAGTTAATCCACGACTGACATCAGCTCATTTAGTGACTGTTCAAAGTTGCAATGACACTGAAAAGTGAATTTTGACCACTTTTCATAATTACAACCTTGATAGCATCCCCATGATCATGTGGTCAAAATTCAGATGCTTGGCTGCTGGTTCATACTTATGACCATTGCTATGCCCCAAGGTCACATGATCCCCCTTTGCAACCTTTTGACGAGCAAAGTCAATGGGGAAGCCAGATTCACTTAACAACTGGGTGACTAATTTATCAACTGCAATGATTCACTTAACAACTGTGGCAAGGAAGGTTGTAAAATGGGACAAAACTCACTTAACAAATGTGTCACTTAACAACAGAAATGTTGAACTCAATTGTGGTTGTAAGTTGAAGACTACCGTATGGGACTTCCAAACGTGTTCTAAAAGGAAATGTACTCAGAGACCTTTTTCCATTTGCTCTTAGCTTTGAATTGTCCTAGCATGATGTTGTCTTCACCTGAATTAGAATTAAGTCACTCTTAGCTATACCAGAGTTAAAGTCATGTTCTTCCCCAATACCTTAATTGTTGCAATGTTCAAGGGTAATAAACTCATTATCTTGATGAGAAGTTAGAAGATTGCAGTGATTGAAACAAAGGCATTGTCAGGCCTGCAGCCATCTTTTTGGGGGGATCTTTGGCCTGCCACACTTTTTATTATTCTGCTATGCATTTTCTATTGTGGGAAAATGAGAGGGGGGATTGTAGGAGATGCAATGAAGCCATAACAAAATTATTTCTAGGAATCCAAGATCATTCTTTGTCTCTGCACCTGACTGAAACCGGATGGGTGGAACTGCCAGCATGGCAGTGGAAGATTGGACCATGGGATGGACTTGTGGGTGTGGGGGCAAGATCTTGAACTTTCAACTAGGTGGGGAAAACCGGGTATCTTTCAGATTCGGGTTTTCCCAACATGGCTCTCTTAATAAATTGGAACTTTAAGCAATACTTTGCCTTGGACTCTGATTTAATTTTGGATGCTATTTGGAATGCTGACAGGCATTACAATAGGAAGAGGGTTGGCAATGGTAATAGTTAATGACATGCTGCTATAATTTTCTGTTAGCTAAAGTATATGTGGACAGCAGCTCAGCAGGGTTCACCACTATCACTTAGTGCAGAGCCCTTGCTTTATGCTTGAGGTAGAGGTGGGCTGCTCCCAGTTCAGCCCAGATAGGGGTGGTTCCACTCACCCACCCAGAAGCTTCTGCACATGCATAGAAGCGTCTCGTGCGCGAGAACATGCCCGAACCTATTGTAAAAAAATTGGCAATTCACCTCTGGATTGAGGGTTCTATCTTCAGCCTTTAATAAGGAAGTAGAATCAGGAATATGATCTTTCTCTGCCCAACATCTTGGAAAAATATTGCAAGTTGCAATGGAGAGTACAGATGACACCCATCAGATCTCTCTAACTCTGCATTGATATCTGTACGTTGATGCAAATGCTTCATAGCCAAAGATATTGTTTTGACTGAAGCTTCATTCATTTACTCATTGGTTGCAGTGATATCATGTGGGAACCCTGGGACACCCAGCAACTCAAGGGTGTTATTCAATGACGGCCTGGTGTTCTCCAGCTCCATCATATACAAGTGCCGTGATGGCTATTATTCCACAGGTGTGCTCAGCAGGCATTGTACTGTCAATGGAACCTGGACCGGGAGCACCCCAGAATGCACAGGTGAGTTGGCCAAAGGAAGAGGTTAGCAGTGATGAAGCTCATCTCTACAACTTGATGCTTTCTAGATGTACTTGGACCAACCGCTAAGAGTTACAAGAACCACAGGGCAGGATAATAGGGAATGCTGGAATGCTACCTTGCTGTTTCATTTTAATTTATTCTTCATTAGTATTCTTATTTATTTATGCTCTGCTCCAAAATCACTGGATTCTTTATTTTTTTTCTTTTATTTGTTACATCTTTTCTTGTCTTTTCTTTTTCTTTTCTTTTTTTCTTTTCTTACATCTACATCTACACCCTCATCCTGTTATCTGCTGCTTAGAACTTTTAAATTGCTGCCTAGGTTTGTTCCCAGTGTTGGAACATAAAGTTATGAAATAAATATGGAGCATCCCTGGATTGGCACATCCCAAATTCTTCAGAAATGGTGCTTTTCATATAGAAATGTTTAAGTCTTCCCATCCTTCAAGGAACTGAGTTCTCCATCCTGCAGAATCTGTATGAATCACTGTTCTGAAGAGGCCACCTCTGAGCAGCTTTAGGGCAGATTGTATTCTGTGAACTCTCGTGCAGAGGTTATTGAGAAGAAGTTAATTTGGGGGCAAAGGTTGGCAAGAAGATACATTGGAGAAACTCTTCCCTTGAGAGATACATTAAGAGCATGGGAACTCTGAATAATCAAGTATTATTTCTTAAGGCAGAACAGATGTTCTATTGTATCCAGATTCACAAGGCCATTGCCTTCCCAAGTAGAGAGCCTACCTGAATCAATCTCCAATCTCATAACTCATGCTGGGTAGAACATCTGGTGAGAGGACCACGGATAAGATTTTAATTGCCCTTGCCTGGTTTCCAGACAAATTGGAAGTCTTTGCTCATCGTTAGTGGGACAAAGAGTAAAGAAAGATAGTTTGAACCAATAGTTGGCCAACCACACTTTAGTCTTCATTTTCATGAAGGCTATCTAAAGCACAAAGTGTCAGTAAAGACTCTTGAAGGACATTTCTTTGAAGTTTGGATTGTACACATTCTAGTGGGGCGAAACTGGAAAAGGGACCCAGTTGGTCATAATAGAGAAGCTATGCTAATGGCTTGGCATCAAATAATTTGAGAACTATAGGTGTATAATTCTCAAATTATTTGATGCCAAGCCATTAGCATAGCTCTGGGTGTATAATAAGGGATGTGGTGGCTCAGTGGCTAAGACACTGAGGTTGTTAATCAGAAAGGTCGGCAGTTTGGTGGTTCGGATTCCTAGTGCCGTGTAAGCGGGTGAGCTCCCATTACTTGTACCAGCTTCTGCCAACCTAGCAGTTCGAAAGCAGGTAAAAAATGCAAGTAGAAAAATAGGGACCACCTTTGGTGGGAAGGTAACAGCGTTCCATGCACCTTCGGTATTTAGTCATGCTAGCCACATGACCACGGAGATGTCTTTGGACAGCGCTGGCTCTTCGGTTTTGAAATGGAGATGAGCACCGTCCCCTAGAGTAGGGAATGACTAGCACATATGTGTGAGTGGAACCTTTACCTTTACCTATGGGCATAATAGAGAAGTAATGCTAATGGCTTGCCATCAAATAATTTGAGAACTATAGGTGTATAATAGCCATTTCTAGCCTTAAATTATATAACAATGACAGGTGAGTTCCTCTATGCATTTCCAACAATGTAGTTCCCATGGAGCTTCCAACTGACAGTAGACTTAAGAACAATCCTCAATTATTTTATTCTTGTGGCTATATATGTGCCACAAAAAGGTTCCTGGGGCTTTTGGCATATCCCATGATGTTAGCTTTCTGATAATTGGTATTCCTTGCAATACTATGCTAGGCAATTTTCAAGACCAACAAACTTTATTGAACATATCTCTAGAATATCTGCATCAAATACAACAGAAATAGCTCTTCGGGGAGAGAGAGTTCACATTGTGGAGAGGTCCCATTATGAAATTAATGTATTAAGTGGACAGGAGTGAGACTAATATGCAGCTTTGCTTAACATTTTTCTTGGTTCCAGTAACATTGGGTAAGATGGCCTTGGTGGCTATAACTTTCTTGGAGTAACATGCCTTCGTGCTGTATAGATAAAGTCAATGCTGGTTGGTCAAGGAAGCTTCTAACTTCTTCCACAGTTTAACTTAGAAGATAGCATCAAATTCTGCCTTGAAATCTCTAAAAGCAAAATAAAGAGAGGTGGTGTTGCAGGAGAAGTATTTCTCCAAAGCGATGCTCAAATGTTAGGCATTGATCAATAATGGATCAGCTAGCCTGCTCTTTTGTCTGCAAGTTTTCTTGTTCCAGCCAATCGTAAAATTTCCATTGTAGATGTCCTGCATCAAGCTTGCTGACTGTGTTAAGAGGACTAATAGGTCTGTAATTAACAAGATAATCTATTTTCCCCTTTTAACCAGAATTGAATTTTGGCAAGGAGGAGATAATAGCCACTCACAGATCAGAATTATGAGGGGATTTCTGTTTTTTTAAAACTTCTGTAAATCACAGTTGAAATCATGAAGCCCTTCCCCTGATTTTGCAGGTAGCAAAAAGACTTGCAATATTTCTATTTAGAAAGGGACCCAGTACAGACTTAGGAATTAAATGGCTAGTTACTCCCTGCTGTCATTAAGAATTAAGCGTTAAGTATTCTCACCATGGGAGAATATGTCTTGAACTTGAGGGCTATTGTAAGAACTTGCTTTCAAAATAATACTGTGGTTTTCATTATTAACAACTATTTCATCAACCTTGCCTTTGAGATCTGCAGCTGACCTCTTTTTCTCCTTTTCCAAGTGATAAACTGTGGAGACCCTGGAGTACCAGCCAATGGTATCCGAATGGGCAATGACTTCACCTATAATAAGACTGTCACATTTCAGTGCATGCCAGGTTACATGATGGAGTCAGAAAGAGCTTCTACTTTAACTTGCACCAAGGACCGGGCCTGGAATGGGACAAAACCTGTCTGCAAAGGTAAGGCCAATTTAATCGCACATTAGTATATATGTGGGATTTCCCTATAGTTTACACCTGTGTTTCTCAACCTTGGTGACTTGAAGAAGTGTGGCTGGGGAATTCCAGGAGTTGAAGTCCACACATCTTCAATCCACCAAAGTTGAGAAACATTGGTCTAGAACAGAAGTGGGTTCCTACCGGTTCAGCCGTGTAGGCAGTAACTTGGCCGGACACTCCCCCAAACCAGTTATATTACCTATAGTGCCGCCATCTTCTTTTTTGCTTCTGCGCATGGGCAGAAGCCGATTTTTTACTATGCAAAACGCTCATCAAGCGCTCGCGTGAAGTGTGCCCCTGAGCGAACCGGCAGTAACAAGCCGGAACCCACCCCTGGTCTAGAAGCAGGGGAGTCAAACTGGTGGCCTGTGGGTCATGCCTACGCTACCTCTGCAAAGGGGAAAAAAATGTCACGATACATCACATGATGTCAACGTAACAGGGCAAGTTTGGCACTCATGGTCTAGACCAGGGGTCAGCAACCTGCGGCTCTGGATCTATATGTGGCTCTTTCATCCCCCTACTGCGGCTCCCTGTTGCTCACAATATGCATCACAACCGCCAATGTGCTACACCCACTAGCACATGATTTTTTTGAGCTTTTCAAACCCTGGTAGGCCAACCATGGATAAACCCAAGAAAAGTTTCAGAAGAAAACAGAATGCTTAATTCAACTACATATGCTAGTTCTGTGGCCACTCAGGAAATAATCAGGCTCAGGAAGGGTTTTGTGGCTCCTGGTGGTTTTTTTTTTTCCCCTGTGGGAAATGGGTCCAAATGGCTCTTTGAGTGATTAAAGTTGCCGACCCCTGATTTAGACTAGAACAAGGGTAGGAAGCTGTGGTCCTTTACAACCTGTGGACTTCAACTCCCAGAATTCGAGAACCAGCATGGTTGGCTCAGGGATTCTGGGAGTTGAAGTCCAAAGGTCATAAAGGGGACATATTTGTCCATCCCTTGTCTAGATGAATCTTTCCCATGCTGGTAGTCTCCAGATGGAATAAAGATAGGATAGAATAAGCCACAAAATCCAGATAGAGAAATTCTTTTTCCCCCCTTACGCCCTCATTTCTTCAGTTTGTTTAAAGAGAATTAGCTTTAGAAAGAACAGCTTGGAGAATGTCTCATAGGCAGGATATGCGTACCTGCACTAGGTGATCAAAGAAGGTGTTGTGTGTGTGTGTATTCTGTCTTTCACTGTTGTGCAATTGCTCCAGTACAGCTTTCCATGCTTCTGAGATCTCAAGAGAATTCATCCATTATATTACTGCTGGAAGGGTGGGAGAGTTTTGTTGAAAAATCTGGTAAAAACTTCCCACCAATTTCTTTAACAAGAGGGTTTTTTTAAAAAAAAAGAATCCTAAAGAGGCCTTTTATGGCCATTTCTGTTTATGGTTCACATTATTTTGAATCCCTGTGGCAGTGGAAAGCCAGGAAGGACTGGTTTCAAGAATAATCTGAGACTTTTTGAAGAAATTGGGATTAGAGGTAGAGTCAGAAGCCACATATAAATTAGTCTTGGTTGCACATGGAAGCACATGATTCTAAAGAGTCTAGAACAGTGATGGCCAACCTTCTTGGCACCAAGTGCCCAAACTGGAACGTGTGTGCATGTGCATGCCGGAGCACCGGAAACCTAAAGACCAGCTGGCTGGCACGTGCATGCCTGTTTTGGGGATGTTTTGAGTGCCATTTTTCAGCCTGTTTTTTGGCCTGAAAAAACAGCCCAAAATGGCCTGAAAAGTGGCTCCACAATGGCCCAAACAGCAACCATTTTTGGTCATTTGGGGGCTGGTTTCTTTGGCCATTTTCAGATCATGTTCTGACACTCCAGCACCCGTGAAGACCAGCTGGCCAGTGCACATATGCTTGCTGGAAGCCAGCAGCTGGCGGGAGCATGCATGCACGCAGAGAGGGCTCTGTGTGCCACCTCTGGCATGAGTGCCATAGGTTTGCCATTATGGGTTTAGAAGATCATCCTGTCTAGGGATGTGAGTAGTGTTAATGTCCTTCATGCCAGGATTTTTGATTGGCCATAGAAGAATGTTTAAATTTTCCCTTACTTTGTGCCTAGGTGCTACAGATGGCCAATTTGCTATACAGTTACTTGCATGCTGTGGCCTTATTTAATTACCATCTGTATGTCAGCAACATTTATTTATTTATTTATTTGACCAAATAGAAAGAACAGGGTAACATCTGTGAAATCTAGCCCTTTGAAGAAGGAGCTTTGTAGCTATGACAACAAGTCTCTTCAATGTGTAGAGCACACTCACATGACAATGATAGAAACCCTACAACATGAATTCTAACCTTCTGGGTCTCTTGTTGAGTTCGGTGTGTGACTTTTTCTCCCTAGCTATCATCTGCAAATCTCCACAAATTGTTTCCAATGGAAGAGTCATGGGCTCAGATTTCAGCTGGGGCTCAAGTATCAGTTATTCCTGCCTGGAAGGCTACCAGCTCTCCCTAGCTGCTGTTTTGACCTGCGAAGGAAATGGATCATGGAGTGGAGAAATCCCACAGTGTTTTCGTAAGTAGACAGTTCCATCTGGAGAAGGTATGGAGTCAAAAGTGGATTATCTGGGGCTTGTTATGTTATAAAAACATACCCATCACAAACTCTTGTTTACTGACTGGTGAAAGCCAGGATCCAGACTTTAGTGAGGACCCATCAAAAAAGCTGCTCTGCCATTATGTTGTTCTTGTTAGTTGTGAAGTTGTGTCCGATCCATCGCAACCCCATGGGCAATGTTCCTCCAGGTCTTCCTGTCCTCTACCATCCTCTGGAGTCCATTTAAGCTCACACTGACGGCTTCAGTGACTCCATCCAGCCACCTCATTCCCTGTCGTCTCATTTTTCTTTTGCCTTCAATCTTTCCCAGCATCAGGCTCTTCTCCAGTGAGTCCTTCCTTCTCATTAGGTGGCCAACGTATTTGAGTTTCCTCTTCAGGATCTGGCCTTCTAAAGAGCAGTCAGGGTTGCTCTCCTCTAGAACCGACCGGTTTGATCGCCTTGCAGTCTAAGGGACTCGCAGGAATCTTCTCCAGCACCAGAGTTCAAAGGCCTTCATTCTTTGGTGTTCAGCCTTTCTTATGGTCCAACTTTCACAGCCATACACTGCAGTGAACTGCCATTGCAATTGGAAAAACCAGTTTTTCCAGTTGCAATGGAAATTATAGCAAGAGACTATTTTTTAAAAAGAACAACAGAGAGATGCTGCTTGTGTGAATGTTGCTGTGAACCAGAAGAATCATGAGAAGGATTAATGCTCCCTGAGGGCCAGGGGGGAAACACTTAGGTGAAAAGTTTTCTGGTTTATTTGTTCCATTTTACACAAACCTTTCAGTGGCACAAGGCAGTTGGATCACATTCCACTAAAATGCTTACCCTATTCCCGCATCTCTTCTGGTTGTTAAAGACCTCCACTGGCAAACTTTAACTAAAGCACTTCCGAAGTCTTCCCCGCTCTCTTCTTGAACCTAGCTGAGTGAGCCCGTTTTCCAACTCAGCAGAAGAGCTAAGTTCTGCTGGAAAATTTGCCCTTCGGTATCCAAGAAGTATTTACAAGATGCTGTTCTGATCTAGGCTTCCCCAAACCACGAAGCTGATGCCTCATCTCAATAAAAAACCCTTTTTATTAATTCACTGTGAATTCTGCTCATTCACATCCAGCAAAGTCTTTCAAGGGAGGATTTACAGTCACAGACCTTATCTGGCTTGGAGAGCTGCCAGGTCAACATCTATAAAACTTGACAATGAATCTTGGAAAGTCATGAACCAATTAAGCAAACTAATTGTCTCCTGCAAACACCCCTCCCCTTTTGCTCCTCTTTTATTCCCTATGGGAGAGACCATTCACTGTCCACCTCTGGCCTTACTCCAAGTCAACCCCTGTTCTTTAGCTGTTCCATTCATCTGGCGACTCTGTGTATGAGCACATGGGAACAGGTTCCAGCTGTTCATCTGCCTCACTGATGTCTGACTCCAAGGCAGCTGATAACTGCCAGATGGCCCTGCCCCCCTCTCTGCCTCTGACATAAAGTCCTCATCAGAGCCTTCCCCAGTCTCCAAGACTGGCCCATGTTCCTCCCCAACCTCCTCACTGTCCGACTCTGCTGCCAGCTCTGCTGACCACTGGTGGGCCACGACAGATGCTATCAAAGCTCTTTGGAGTAGAGGTCCGAAAGCAAAGGTATGCAATTAAAGGAAAGTGATCAGTTTTATCAGAAGAGAACCTCGTCTGCAATTGTGGGGAATGTTTGTGTCAGTGCTGGTGTGCTAAGATGCTTTTTTTCCTCACCCAAACATTTGACAGAACATGAGTTTTTGTCTGGCATTTCTTGTCTCACCTGCTACAGAAGAAACAGCCTTTCCTGTTCATAAAAGGCCCCATGGTGCTTTGCCCAATAGAAGCTCTGTTTTTTGAATTCAAGCAACAGCAAGCAAGAAAATTGAAGCTAGCCTTCTGTTCTGTCTCGGCCAGTCTGCCAGGAGAGAGCAGGAAGGTGGAAATAGATTAAACATTCACTGACAATGAAACACAGCATGCAGAAAGAAGCTGGCTACTCTCTCCTGCCAGCCAGGTTACAAATATTCTCTAAAGCAGCGGTCACCAACCGGTGCTCCGTGGACCACTGGAGGTCCGTGAGAAAATTTTGGTGGTCCGTAGAAAAATTATTTGCATTTTTTTATATTGCTATAAATCAGGGGTCCTCAAACTACAGCCCCTGGGCTAGATAAGTGCAATGAATGATTGTGTTGCTGCAGAGAGTAACCCATTTGGGGTCTTTTTATGTGGATCGGTGGGGGGCAGAAATTCCAACTTGGGGTTAGCTTCAGCCTCCTAGTTTGGGCTTTGGGCAAAGGCTGAAGGGAAATGCCGCTGGTGGGAAGAGCAGAAGTAGGACTCATGCTGGCCTGGAACTGGCTGACCATCTCAGCCTGCTGAGCCTCCAGGCGCCGATACCTGGCCTTGCACTCCCGCAAGCCTTCCCTTTGCTTGGAAAGCCTATGTTCGTAGTCCTCAGTGAGGTGCTTCTGCTGAGCCTCCTTCTCGATCAGATCCAATTTGACCTGAGCTGTTTTGCCAACTCTTTCTCATGGTGGCTGCTTAGCTCCAGCAACTGCTTCCTGTTGGGGCCCTAAGGAGCCCAGGTGGATAGGCAAGGAATGGCTGGGAGGGGAAGGGCAAGTAGAGGCACCCCTCCACGTCAATAACATCAAGTAGGTCATGCCTATCCAGTCACATGAACACCTAGCCACGCCCACCCAGCTGGTCATTAGGCAGATCATATTAGTGGTCCGTAGGAGTAAAATTATGAATTTAGTCATCCCTGAGGTCTAAACATTTGGGGACCCCTGGTTTAGAAGCTCAGGTCTTCGTCTTACTTCTTCATCTGCACAGCCAAAACATATTCAATATGTTATATTTCCCTGCTGGTCCAAAAGAGTTAGGGATCTTGGCTCACTGGCTGCATGCACCAGACATAAGATGTTACAAAAGGTTGGTTATCCCAATGAAATGTCTCTCACTGAAGTCCTTTGACCATTCTTTTTGCAGCCGTCTTTTGTGGCGATCCAGGAATCCCAGCAGATGGGCGACGTGAAGATCGAGGTTTTACTTACCGCTCCTCTGTCTCCTATTCCTGTCTGCCCCCATTAGTGCTGGTGGGATCAGCCCGGAGGTTCTGCCAGGCCGATGGATCATGGAGTGGGACTCAGCCAAGCTGCATCGGTAACAAGATGGGACGTTATTGGGGAACAAAATAATAAAAGCGCCTCTGCCTTTTCTTGGCAGTGCTAAAGAAGTGGTTTCCCATTGCTCTACTCCAGAAAGTTTTCCAACTCTTGTATCTTAATATTCCCTGGAAAACTCCAGCCAAAATACTAATCTGATCCAATCCTATTTAATTTCCAAGCAAGGTGTTGTCACCACCTGCTGAATATGAAGTACAGGTAGCCTTCAATTTCACAACCACAATTGGGACAAAAACTTTTGTCGCTTAACAAGGTTGTTAAGTGAGTCATCCCGATTTTACAACTGTTTTGCCATAGTGGTTAAAAAGGCATTTAATATAAAACATGTTTGAAAGAAAACTGTAATCACAGAAAGTTGAGTCCAAAGTTTAATTCTGGATTTTCATTTTTGGGTGTGTTTTGGGAAATTTGCCTGCGTGGGCACTTCCCATTGGCCAGCTGGTCTTTGGGTCTCTGCCGTGCATGGGCAGGATGTGTACAGGGGGGCTGCGCATGCATGCGTGGGAAGCAGGGAACATTTATGGGGCCCACACATGCATTGCATGTTGGGGGTTCAGGCATGCATACGTGCTTTGGCACTCAGTCCAGAAAAGGTTAGCTCTCACTGCCCTCGAACCAGAAGAAGATTCCAGAAGAGCTGGAGTCCACCTGAAGTGTCTCACTGAGGCAGTGTTTTCTGTCTCTCTTCCTCTCTCCCTCCCCCTCTCCCTCTCCCTTCCTCTTTCCCTTTCTCTATCTCTCTCCCTCCCTTCTTCTCTCCCTCTCCCTCCCTCCCTCTCCCTCCCTCTCCTTCTCCCTCTCCTTTCCTCCCTCTCTCCCTCCCTCCCTCTCTCCCTCTCCCCTATCTCTCTTTCCCCATCCCTCCCTCTCTCCTTCTCCTTTCCTCTCCCTCTCTCCCTCCCCCTCCCTCTTTCCCTTCCTCTCCCTTTCTCTATCTCTCCCTCCCTCTCTTCTTCTCTCTCTCCCTCTCCCTCTCCCTTCCTCTTTCCCTTTCTCTATCTCTCTCCCTCCCTTCTTCTCTCCCTCTCTCTTCCTCTCTCCCCCCCTCTCCCTCTCCACTTCCTCTCTCTTCCCCCACCTTCCCTCTCCCTCTTCTTTCCTCTCTCTCTCTCACTCCCTTCCTCTCTCCCCTTCTTCTCTCTTTCCCCCTCCCTCCCGCTCTCCCTCTCCCTTCCTCCCCTCTCTCTTTCTCTCTCTGTCTCTCTCTCACACAGAGACACAGAGAGAGAAATGAATTAAGCACTTACATTTGTTTGTTTTTCTTTTCAGACGCAAGTGTTACAACCTGCATGGATCCAGGTGTGCCCCTTTTTGGAATTCAAAACAATTCCCAAGGTTATCAGGTAATATATGATCATCTCCTCCTCCCTCTCTCCTTTCTTTTCTTCTCTCCTTTGCCCTGAACAATCTTCTTTATCTATATAATATAGCCAGAACTGCTAATTTGTCATCCTTAATCCAAGGACTGAATATATTCATCCTCCTTTTATGCAAAACACAGACAGTGATGATCTCTCTTTGGAGAGTTGTTATCTCTTGATTAAGCTGTTCTGCAAGGGAGACAATAGGAGGATTTCGCTGGAGGGACCTTTGATTAGATTCAGAGGTGGTCCTTGATGATGCTTGTGCTTCTAATGAATACAGAATCAAATAGAATTGCCTCCCTTAGTAAATAACAAGGCATCTCAAGCTGGAGGAAATCTATGCAGGGAATCCTCGACTTACAACTGTGATTCAATCCACAATTTGAATTGTGAATCGGAGCGGCCATAAAGTGGGTCATCGTATGACCAGATGTGATTTTGTGACCTTTTTTGCAGCGGTCATTAAGTGGTTGCATAAAATGAGTGCCATGATCATTAAGGTAATACCACATTCATTAGGTGAACCCATGCTATAGGGAAGAAACAAGAAGGGGACACCCATTTCTTTCAAAAGCATCATCAATTGAAGCCATGTGGGATGTTGCAAATGGCTAGAAATTTGGGCCTGATGCTGAACAACAAAAATGTGGTCATGTGATCATGGCTGATAGGCCCAGATATAGGAACTTTGAATCAGGATCGTAAATACCATATTTTTCAGAGTTATAAGATGCACCTTTTCCCTCAAAAAAGAGGGTGCATCTTATACACTGAATACAGCATATGTAAAAATGGATGTGGAGAGGGTTTGGGAGGCTTGCAAAATGCTCCTGAGGGCTGGAGAGGGCAAAAATATGGGCCATTTTTGACACCAGCCCCCAGGAATCCTCTACAAGCCTCCCAAACCTCTACATGCCCCCCCCCTTTAGTTTTTGCAAATAACAAGGTGTGCAAAGGGTTTGTGAGGCAAGCAGTGCAAAATCTTTATTTTTTTTAATTTACTTCTTCAAAATTATAGTGTGTCTTATACTCCAAAATACGGTAACTTTTGGGGGGGGTCTATCATAATTTAGAATGATTGCTTAATAACCACTCATAAGTCAAGGACTACCTGTATGGCCACTAAGAGTCAACACTGACTTGATGGCCCGTGACCAACTCAATCACAGTGGATAGGAGCATAGGAGATTCTAACATTTGAACTCCCCATCTACATATGAGAGGACGGTAGCTTTATGAAAAAGATCAGCAATCTTTTCATGTTGTTGGCACCACTGCCTAGTCTCACATGATGGGGCTATCCCTCCCTTTCCCCAAATTGAAAATTAAAATGGCCAAACATTTGTGAATTTGTGGAATATGTTAACAATCTCCTCTTTGAGAGGCCACTGTAATTTCATGAGATTCTATCACATCATGAGAATGAACTTTTCAGAATATAATGTTATGTGTGAGAAACTCACAGCACAACTAGAATCATGAGCCCAAAACATTGTACACGGCAACATTTTGTTATATGTTCCACTAGTTTTTTGTCTGAACCACAAACATATCTTTCACGTCTGAATCACTCAAGAGCAAAAGGAGCTTTATCACACTGGCCACTGTAAGTTAAATCGGTCACTTTTTCAAGGACAGGCCTGAAGGGCAATATGTGAGGTTGAATTACCCATCTTTAACTAGATCAGTTGCTTTAACTAGATGAGTGGCTATGTGTCAGCATTCCAAATAGCATCCCAAAATAAATCAGAGTCCAAGCCAAAGTGTTGCTCAAAGTTTCAATTTATTAAGAGAGCCATGTTGGCACATCTGGAAAAACCTGAATCTCAAAGCTTCCAGGTTTTCCCCACCCAGTTGAAAGTTCAAGATCTTGCCCCCACACCCACAGATCCATCACATGCTCCAATCTCCCACTGCCATGCTGGCAGTTCCACCCATCCAGTTCCGGTCAGGTGCAGAGGTGCAGAGACAAAGGATGACCTTGGCTTTCTAGAAGGAATTTTGTTTTGGCTACATAATATCTAACTCTGTACAATCCCCCTTCCCATTTTCCCACATTAGAAAATGCATAGTAGAATAATAGAAAGTGTGACAGGCCAAAAATCCAAAAGAAAAGATGGCTGTAGGCCTGACAGGCATCCTTTCCTCAGAAGAAAAGTGCATCTTGTAAAAGAATAATATAGGGGGTTAACATAAACATAACTATCCACCTCTTCCCCACCCCTACCCGACCCCCAGGGGAAAATTGGCTTATGGGGAAATTTGTCATGGAACTGTTTCACTAACTTATCAGCTTTTACATTCCAACTGCAGGCCTGACACTATATTCACTCATGCTATATTCACACAACATACTAAATTTACATTGTTTCTCATTACAACAGGTTGGAAGTGTCATCTTCTTCAAGTGTCATAAAGGATATCTGCTGCAAGGGTCCACCACCAGAACCTGTCTTCCAAATCTGACATGGAGTGGAATTCAACCAAACTGCATTCGTAAGTCTTAGCTTCCTCGGTGTTGCCAAAACAGTTGACGCCATCGAATCTCAACCTCGGTTGCTTGAAGATGTGTGGACTTCAACTCCCATAATCCCTTAGCTGGCATGGATGGCCTGGGTATTCTGGGAGTTGTAGACCATGCATTTTCAAGTGGCTGCGGTTGAGCACTGCTGTTCTGACCTAGGCTTCCTGATACAGTAAAAAGCACACGTTTAGTCCCAAAAATCCTCTTTTTATTTCAAAGGCTGTGAATTACATTCATTCACAGCCCGTAATGAGTCCCAAATAGTGGAAAGTGTCCTACAGTAGGCTGCCAAAGTCTTTTGGAATAAGACTGATAAGCACCCACCTTTATCTTCCTTGAAACGCTGCCAAAGACTTCATTGGCAATTAGCTTGGCAAGGCAAGGCTAAATGGAGCAAAGAGTCAAAACGGAGCTTCAGAAGGTAAACTGACCAGCATGAACCAAGTTGCTTCCTGCAAAGAGTCACGTGCCTTTGCTCCTCCTTTATGTCATATGGGAGGGGCCAATCACCTCCAAGCCTTACTCCTGAGTCGTCCCTTCTGTCTTAACTGTTCTTGCCTTCTGGCAGCTCTGCGCATGCACACACTGGGAACAGTGGGAGCCTGTTCCTCTGCCTTTCTGATGTCCACATAACTCCCAGATGGCTCTGTCCCCCTCTCTGCCTCTGACACAGAGCCCTCGTCAGAGCCTTCCCCAGGCTCCAGGACTGGCCCATGTTCCTACCCACCCTCTTTGCTGTCTGACTCTGCTGCCAGATCCGCAGGCCACCGGCAGAACAACTGCTCTGTGCTAAGAATTTCGTTTTACAGTATATATTCAGATGCCAGTTCTTCATTTTTGCTGCCTAGATAGATAAAGTGGAAATGAGAAAATGCAAACCAGCATGCACAGACCAATCCCAGAAAACAAGGATAAATGAAGTGTCTGAAGGCATTGTTTCAGAAGGTACCTCCTTCTGAGTCAGGCCAGATTTTGGATATAGATAGGCTTCAATCTTCACCTAATCAGCAGCCTTTCTCAACCTGCTGCTCTTCAGGTGAAATACCTGACATTCCCAAATAACATCAGCAATCTGCTGGGAATTCTGGGGGATGTAGTCCAAACAGATCTGGAGGATACCAGGTTGGGAAAGCTATCTTCTGCCCTTCCTTAGGCCTGGTAATGGTGGGTCCATGAGATGCTTTCCTCCATGTCTTTGCAGCACACAACTGCAAGGAGCCGGATACCCCAGCCCATGCCAATGTGGGTGCTCTGGACCTGCCTTCACTGGGATACACCTTGATCTATTCATGCCAGAGTGGCTTTTATCTTACTGGAGGATCTGAGCATCGGACTTGTAAGGCTGATGGCAGCTGGACAGGGAAGCCTCCCATTTGCCTGGGTAAGCAAAGCTGCCAACGGAAAGACAGCTCCACGTCTACAAAACATCTTATTCTTTCCACTTGAAATTCATCTGTTGCATTTCATGGACAAATCACTCTTATTTCAGTCCCCTGTTCCCTAGATCTAGAGGATTAGAAACTACCTTGTTAGATCAGACCCCAAGCACATTTTGCTCACCGTTTTCCCCCAGTGGTACCCAGAACATTAAGGCAAGAATTCTGTGCGATTCTTCTTTCACTTCTGGTGCTCAGAGATAGAGTTGTCTCCTCACTTTGGAGGATCTCAACAGTGTTCATACAACACAAATCTTTCTCTATCAATGTTAATCCTTTATATCAGATTGCCCCCAGCATACCTTACACCTGGGGGGGGGGGGTTGTTTGGTTTTTTGTTTGCATCTTATGAAATCTGAACTTTTTGGTTGATCACTTTTGTCAATTCAAATAGTGAAACAAAAAGTGGGGAGATCCCATTTTTCTATTCTTTCATACCATCCATAATTATAGACCCAGCAGGAATAGAGTCTTCCTAGGCCAGTGATGGCTAACCTTTCTCTAAAGGTCTGTCAAAACTGTTTGTGCAGACACTATAGCGCGTGTCTACCCACCAGTGCATGGGCAAGTGACCCCCGCACCTGTGCATGCATGAGCAACCCCCCACCTGTGCATGCGACCCCCACCCATGCACATGCGATCCCTGTGCAGTGGGGGAGATTTTCACCCTCCCCAGGCTTGGGTCTATTCTGAAGCCTGGGGAGGGTGAAAATGGCCTCTCCCAGCCCTCTGAAAGTCCGAAAATCAGCTGGCCAGCATGCATGCCAGAGCTGAAGGTTGCCGAGGGCTGCCGTGCTGGCAAATATGGCTCCACATGCCACCTGTGGCACATGTGCCATATGTTCGGCATCATGGTCCTCGACTAAAGAAGTAAACAAATCCATCTGGTAACATTTTTGTTTTGGCTAACAGCTTAGAGGTGATATTCAACCAGTTTGGACCGGTTCAGGCAAAACGGTAGTGGAAATTTTGAGTAGTTCATAGAACCGGCAAATACCACCTCTGGCTGGCCCTGCCCTCCCTCCCCCGTCCTTGTTTTATATTTCCTTGTTTTTTAGCTCAGCTGATTCGTGCGGCAGAGTGGATTGCCGCACCTCAGCTGAGCTAAAACACAGCTCAGCTCACCAGCGCTGACACCGAGGGCGGTCTTTGTGTGCTGTATGCGCAAAGTGCTCTCTCATAGAACTGGTAGGAAAAGATTTGAAATCCCACCACTGAACGTGTTTAGCTATGTTAAATTAAAAATATTAAGTTTGATCTAGTGGTTAAGGCATCAAGATAGAAACCAGGAGACTGTGAGTTCGAGTCTCACTTTAGCAATGAAAGCTTGTTGAATTTCATATATGTTCAACATAGGAGGCGGAAGGTATGCTCACTGCCTTGAGCTATTTATAAAAATAACAAAGGGCTTAAAAAATAATTTAAAATGGGGGCAGTTCCAAGGATATTGGTTGCATTCACACAACATTCTGTTGTGTTTCATTAGCTTATTTTGCAACTCAATTCATTGTTCTATATATTTTCCCAGAAAGTGGGTTAATTCAGCACCAAGTTGAAGAGAGGAAGTGATCACAGAGGCCACATAAGATCCTCTTTATATTCATCTGTTGTTAAAGATGTTTATGTCACCTTATTAAGATATGAACTCTTGCTTTGATTGTCCTTTTAAGCGGATGTCCGACCCAGCAGGCGACCTATGGGGGCTGCAAAGGATCAGCATCTTCCAAAAGTCTCAGGTAACCTCTTTTGCCTAAGCACCAAATGCATAAAAATACATTAAAAAATGAAACAGCATAGCAAATTACTTGAGTTTCAAGATCTATAAATAGAGGGACACGCTGTCAATTTTCTTAAAGGATGGAAAACTCAAACCATTCCTTGTTTTAATGGGTTTTCAGTACTTTTAATGGAGATTCTTAATTAATGGCATTTTTTTCGATTGTTTTTGAAGTAACAAAGTTTGATTTTAAAAAGTATTAAACAAATAAGAATTCTGGGAATTGAAGTCCATTCCTCCTAGATTTGCTAAGGTGGAAAAACACTATTCTAAACCAGGAGTCTCCAACTTGGCAACTTTAAGACTTGTGGAACTCTGGGAGTTGAAGTCCACAACTCTTAAAAGTTGCCAAGATCAGCATCTTCCAAGATCAGCATATTGAGAACAGGGAGACCCCTGTTCTCAACCTGTTTGGCTTCTGTACTTGTTCTAAAATCTTCTCCTTGTCTTCTTCTGCCTTGGGCTATTTCTAGTTCCTGCTGATGTCTTTGCCAAAAATTCCTTCTGGAAAGGCTCTTACGAATACATGGGCAAAAAGCAGCCAGCCATGCTTTCTGTCACCAGCTTTGATCCTGTCACCAGTAAAGTCAATGCCACTCTGATCGACCACAGTGGCGTGGAGCTGCAAGTTTCTGGTAAGGCAGCCAGTTGGGTCTTTTCTGCATTCCTGGTGGGAGAAGAGGAGGTGGTGGAGACACCTTGATGTCCACCCCATTAAACAACACAGAGGGGGAAATGATGTCCATCCAACCTTATCATACTGCCAATATAATGCTTTGTTTTTGCTCTCTCCACCCACGTTTGCCTGGACAATCAAGCCGAAACATCTGTCTAATGTTCAAATCAAATCAATGATTAAACACCCTGAGGGGTCATCGTTCTCCAGCTGAAATTCTGTGGTTGCATTTATGTTACACTGCATTCTAAGGCTAACATACCACCATAACCAAACAAATAAGCCATGGCATAGTTTTCTGTAAAGGTGGCTCAGTGGCTAAGACACTGAGTTTATCAAACATAAAGGTCAACAGTTCGGTGGTTCGAATCCCTAGTGCTGCGTAACTGAGTGAGCTCCCATTTCTTATCCCAGCTTCTGCCAACCTAACAGTTTGAAAGCATGTAAAAATACAAGTAGAAAAATAGGAGCCACCTTTGGTGGGAAGGTAACAGTGGCATTTGGCATTTAGTCATGCCAGCCACACGTCCACAGAGATGTCTTGGGACAGTGCTGGCTCTTTGGCTTTGAAATGGAGATGAGCACCGCCCCCTAGAGTGGGGAACAACTAGCACAATTATGTGCAAGGGGAACCTTTATCTTTAGCTTAAGACTAACATACTACCATAACTAAGCAAATAAGCCATGGTATAGTTTACTGTGACGGCTTATATACTGTATACCATAAAATGTGGCTCACACCTGAGTTTTGATAGTACACGAAACCCAAATGACCCAAAAACAATGATAGAGAAAAGATGTTGAGACCTTGGAAAGTGTGCAGAGAAGATAAAGGAACTAGAGGCTAAATTGTATGATGAACAGTTGAGGAAGTATGTCTCTTCTCTACTGAAGAGAAGGATTAGGGGGGACATGACAGGTCTCTTCCAGCATTTGAGGGACTGTTACAAAGAAGAGGGGATTGAGTTACTCTCTAGTTCGCCAGAGGACAGAGTACAAAGTAATGGGTGGAAGAGGTAATTGCCAAAGAGAGATCCGACCTAGAAGGAAGGAGAAATTTCCTGACCATGAGAACAATTAATGGACTAGCTTGCCTCATGGGGTTGTGGGTGCTCCATCACTGGAGGTTTTCAAAAATAGAATGGGCATCCATCTCATGGGACGGTGTAAGACTTCTTATTGACTAGATCTCTGAGCTTCTTGCTCTCACAATCCCTGTGTAAGGCCCGGCCTCCCCCCCCCCGCCCTTAATCCAGGAAGTAAAGACTCTTGAAACTTTGCATTTCAAAGGGATCCTTTTATTGAAAGAGAAGTGATAACTGGGCAAACGCAAAGCAGAATCTGGAGTCCTTAAGGCAATACAATTGGAAAAAAAGAAGTTAGAATCCCCTCCCAGCCGTCCGATGTTTTTTTTGTAAAGGAGGCTCTGGGAAAGTGATGCGAAGACTTTCTCAGGCCTGCTTCCTGGATTAATGCAGTCCACGTGGCCCTCCCTCCCCACCCATTCCCCGAGAAAGGTGAGAAAGTGCCAGGCCTCTAGGCGCCAAGCTAGAAGTTATAAAGCAATTAATTCCAAAATACAGGATCTATAGGAAAGAAAGAAAAGTCTAGAGGAAGTACAGGGCTCCCCCCTCTTCCCCTGAAGAATGAAGATTCACGGATCTGATACCCCATCTGGATGGTTAGAATCTCTCTATCTTGGGCCTCATCCACTTACATGTGTGTGTGTGTATGTGTGTGTGTGTTTTAATCTGCAATTTTGACCATGTTCCCAATTGGAGACAACTCTTTGAAGGCCCTCTGCTATCTTTCCTGCATGTTCATTTTCCTGAATAATTTAATGCTACCTGCAGGCTTTGCAAACAACTAAATGCATGTAATACAGATGAGTTTTCCAGTATGATTTTTTTCCAGAGTCGGATGCAACACTGCTCTAACTTCACAGACCATTGAAGAACACGGAGATCTTGTCTTCTCAAATTGCAAGGAAACCTCCCCCCTCCCTTCTGCCCCCCCCCCAGTTCTCCCGGGGCTTCCTCACCCTGCTTGCTGCGTTACAAGAAAAGCAATCAACCTTGACTGCCCAGCTCTCTTATCTTCTCTTTCCAGGTATTTACAAAAGAGAAGATGTCCATCTCCTCCTTCAGGTACACCAAATTACAGGGCCACTGGACATCTTCACGAACAAATTCAAGAATGATAAGTGGGCATTGGATGGACACGTAAGTCTTTGCCAGAAACATTTCAATGACAGACGGGCAGAGGAATTGGGAACATAACATTGGGGGGATGTGAGAGCTTTTTGCAATGAGGGTTAGAAGTAGCAAAACAGGAGCAACCCACCACTGGTCTGTGACTCTCAGATATCTCAGCTTGTAGGAATTCATGAAGTTCTCATTCTGAAACATTTTGAGGGCACAAGGAAGGCTTGCAAACTCTCATCTTATGTATCAGAGAAACTAAAGAAAAGTTTCTTTCTCTCTCATTCTCCCTCCCTTTCTCTCTCTCTCCCTTCCTCTCTCAATCTCCCTCTCCCTCTCTCTCATTCCCTCCATCTCTGCCTTCTTCCCATTCCCTCCCTCTCTCTCCATCTCTCTCTCCCTCCCTCTCCCTCCCTCCCTCTTTCTCCCTCCCTTTATCTCTCTCTCCCTCCATCCCTCTCTTGCTCCCTACCTCTCTCTCTTATTCCCTCTATCTCTCCCTTCTTCCCTCTCTCTCCCTCCCTTCCTCTCTCTCTCTCTCATTCCCCGTCCCTCCCTTTTCCCCTCCACCTCCCTCCTTCTTCTTTTCTCCCTCTCTCTCTCCCCCTCCCTCTCCCTCCCTCCCTCTCTCTCTCCCC